CTTCTAGGTTGGTGGCCACCGCTCTTAGGTTGGAGGCCATCGCTCTTAGGTTGGAGGCCATCGCTTCTAGGTTGGAGGCCATCGCTCTTAGGTTCGAGGCAAATGCTCTTAGGTTGGAGGCCATCGCTCTTAGGTTGGAGGCCATCGCCTTTAGGTTCGAGGCAAACGCTTAGGTTGGAGGCCATCGCTCTTAGGTTGGAGGCCATCGCTCCTAGGTTGGAGGCCATTGCTCTTCCATTGGAGGCCATCGCTCTTTGGTTGGAGGCCATCGCTCTTAGGCTGGAGGCCATCGCTTCTAAGCCATGGCTTGTAGGTTGGAGGCCAATGCTAGTAGGTTGGAGGCCATCCCTCTTAGTTTGGAGGCCATCGCTCTTAGGTTGGAGGTCATCGCTTCTAGGTTGGAGGCTGTCGCTTAGGAAGGCCATCGCTTCTAGGTTGAAGGCCATCGCTTCTAGGTTGAAGGCCATCGCTTCTAGGTTCAATGCTTGGAGGCCATCGCTCTTCTATTGGAGGCCATCGCTCTTAGGTTTGGAGGCCATCGCTTCTAGGGGAGGCCATTGCCTCTAGGATGGAGGCCATGGCTCCTAGGTTGGAGGCCATCGCTCTTAGGTTCGAGGCAAACGCTTAGGTTGGAGGCCATCGCTCTTAGGTTGGAGGCCATCGCTCCTAGGTTGGAGGCCATCGCTCTTCTATTGGAGGCCATCGCTCTTTGGTTGGAGGCCATCGCTCTTAGGTTGGACGCCATGGCTTGTAAGCTTGTAGGTTGGAGGCCATTGTTAGTAGGTTGGAGGCCATCCCTCTTAGGTTGGAGGCCATCGCTTCTAGGTTGGAGGTCATCGCTTCTAGGTTGGAGGCCGTTGCTCTCAGTTTGGAGGGCTCTTAGGTTGGAGGTCATCGCTTCTAGGTTGGAGACCATCGCTTAGGAAGGCCATCGCTTCTAGGCTGAAGGCCATCTCTTGTAGGTTGAGTGAAGGCCATCGGTTCTAGGTTGCAGGCCATCGCTCTTAGGTTGGAGGCCATCGCTTTCAGGGTGAAGGCCATCGCTTCTAGGTTGGAGGCCTTTGCTTACCTCTGGAACAGAAATGGAAGCGTTGCAAACAATTCCAAGGTCAGCCCTTCATTGGTCTCTCATTGACTGCAAACAAAACTCATGAGAAGCATGCTTTTATGGGTTGGCCACAGTGGCTCCAGCTGGAAGTCATCCGGGATGACTCTGGATTCTTTATATTTTTGACATAGGTTGGAGCTCAGCAGGTTGGAGGCCATTGCTCTTATATAGGTTGGAGGCCATCGCTCCCCAGTGCCAAATGCATATGTGCTGCCACCAGCCCTCCCCAACACTCGCGGACCAAAGCCAGCATAAAAGGCGTTTTGCTTTGTTTGGGACTATGTGGCTTCAATGCTTTTACAAGGGCAAGTCTGCTCTTCAGCATGCGGATTCTGCAAAACGCTTCAACAATCTTCAACCTCTTGAACGAACCAGAGAACCTTGGCTGAAAGCTTCTGGATCCTTTTTGTCACGGCATCAAGTGGCAGTTGAGCCATCAAACTCACGCTTGGAACGGAGCTGCGCGACCTCTTCTACAATAGCCTGCCGCTCGTGTTCCCCGCCGTTGTCCAACACAGCCTGCCACGAGGAGCTGCCCAATCATGTAGATTCGTCCCGTCATGTCCGATCATTTCATGATCTCGTGTCCCAGACTTCCAGTGCAAGTTCACGAAGTGCTGCATGGAAAACAGCTCCCTTCAATCCGGCTTCATATCCCTCGCCTTGATGATCCACTTCTTCTTTTTGAGCCGAGCTACCTCCTGATGGAAGCATAGCACGAGAAACATGCGACTCGTCCGATGTGAATTAAAACCGTTGGAGCAGGCGACTCTGGAAGACAGTGTTCAGTTCACTGGAAGTTTGAAAATTCCACAATTGACGAGTATGTTTTTGGTTTCTTAAGGATCTGGCATTTCGCAAGGTCACTGCTTCGAGGACCAATTGAGAGTGAAACTTCTCCTTAGCCATACGAAAACCACGCTGCCTGCAGCATGACCGTGATCCTCCTGGCAAGTGGAACATGCAACCACTGCCTGCTTCCACAACGGCTCACTCAGCAGGTTGCATGAGATTCCAGGAGGCTTCAGGACCCCGGCATAACACTCAGCCCTCCACAATCTTCTGCCGAATGGATGCCACTGCTTCAATTTCCGGTGACGGTGGTACAACGCCCTTGGGCGTCAAATCCTGGTGCCAACACTGTGCAAAGTAAGATTGGCTTCATAAAGCCAAATTTACTGCGTATTGTTTCCTACTGTTTCCACGGGGCAGATTCAAGCACCTGTTGCTCTGTTGGATGGGCATCTCGCTCGTCGGCCTCAAACTCCATCGCTTTGTAGAAGACCTGAAGCGGTGCTGTAATTTGTAATATCCAACCACTCCGCGTCAGGGTGCAAAAATGTGCATTCAAAATCATTCAGATGTATGTAAACAAACAAAGTGGATGGGTATATATATATATATCTATGTATGACATTTTTGTAGGCTGCAACGTTCATGTGACCATGAGTGTGTAAGACGCAAACACAGCGCAGTCACATACTTGTTTTGTTTCAGCTGCAAGTCATACTCAAATGCAACCCAACCTCCAAACGTCTCTGCAGCTCAGTGTTTTCAGATTGAAGATTCTGCATCATCGCTTGCTCGCCACTAAGCTTGGTCTGCTGAACCTGGCTGGGGGGTCGATTTCCCGGTGACAGAACACCAGCATGCAAGGATCAACAGGGTAGGTGCAAACAAAGACAAACAGCAAAGACGCCATGTTCAAGGTACGGAGGTATATTACTGTACACAAACTACAGTCAACCAAATAATTAAGGAACATGTTGAAGTAGAACAACATTTCTTTTGCAGCCCCGGTTCGTGCCTCCAAGTTTTGGATCCTTCCGTGCGCCGCCAGCAGCTCCTCTTCCAGTCGCCTTTGCACATCCAGGGCCTTTTGAAGCTGCAGCGCATCCTGCCCGAAGCTTGAATGGTTACAGTACTAGTTTGTCAGTTGGCTGGCTCATTCCCACAGTCTGCGTAAAAGACTACACTACAGTAATGACTAAGAAATCCGAGTTGAAGGACGAGGTAATTATATAGTTGGATTATCAGCAACAGGCAGCGTCCTCCATGGATACAGCACCTTTCTCTGCCTCGGCCTGGGCTTGGTCATATCGCAAAGCAACCACGCTTCACCAGGGCCATCCCTTGCGTCTGAGTCCGCCGCATCAGTCTGAGGAGGGCGATCCGACCCGCAACAGCTGCACTTGCTCCCAGCCTGCCACGAGCTGCAGGTGGGAGAGGCGAGAACACGAAACATGGACGATAGTAGGGTTCCCGCAACGATGTCCCCAGGAACATTGAAACAGAACAAGGCACCCAATCAATTTATCCCTTTTCGTCTCCTTATGTTTGATTCTCTCGGGTTCCTGATTCCTCTCCGTCACCCCTGCATTCAATTCTGCCACTAAGACCATGCCGTCGAGTGCTGTCTCAGACGATTGCGCCGATGCGGCAGGCGACTCCTTGCCGAAGGCTGAGGCTTGTGACGGGGAGCGGGAGGGACCCAGCAAAGTCCAGAACCCTAAAATGCATGCGAAATGGTGCAGCAAATGAGCATCTATCAGAAGGATGCCGTTACAATGCTAGTCCGTTCTTTTGAGGGATAATTTTTTTGAAACAATTGCGCGCTTACCCTTCCAAAATTATGCAGGTTTCTTTCAGACATTTCTCCGACCTTTGGCGGTTTGGGAGGCCACTGTGAAGCACCTGCAGTGGCATGCCCTGACTCTAAGTGAAAACCACCACTGACGAAAGATCATGATCTTGAAAACGCACACAAAACACGTGAGAAGGGATGCGCGACTAATTGCACAAAATTGATCAGTATAAATGCCGTAGAAGGATGATCCCCATGTAGTGGACAGGCGAATTTTTATACAACGGAGGGGCTTTTGGATAAGCAAGGGGGGCGCACGTAGCCGACAAGTGTTTACAAACAGAGCAGCAAACAAGGCTGCTTTGCAACTATGCTTGTTTACGCAAGCAGCAAGCAGCAAAGCAGCAGCAGCAACAGCAACAGCACCACCAGCAGCAGACCAGCACCAGCGAGAGCAGCAAAGCAGAAGCAGAAGCAGAAGCAGAAGCAGAAGCAAACGCAGCCGCAGCCGCAGCCGCCGCCGCCGCAGCAGCAGCAGCAGCAAAAGCAGCACAAGCAAACCAGCACCAGCGGGTGCAGCAAAGCAGGAAACCAGCGCCAGCAGGAGCAGCAAAGCAGAAGCAAAGCAGGGCGGAATGACGTGCAGCGAGCTCAAAAATAGCTATTTTGGCTTGTGCGACACCAAATGGACCCAACACAGGCAACACCATCAACCAGCAGCAGATGCAGCAAAGCAGGAGACCCACAGAGGAATGATATGGCGTGACCTAAAAACTACACCGGGATGGAATCCAGATAGCGGGTGTATACGGAAAAGCTAATAGGGAAACAACATGTTGTCATGCGCAATATGACAGCGTGTCATCCCTGGCATGACGCCATGTCATCCATGAAAGGAAACTATGCATACCGCACAATGCAGTCGTCAGTTTGCCGGACGCAATATGACGCGCTCGGTGTCATCCTGATGTCACCCCCGGCATGACATGACGTCGTTCCGACATGATGTCATCCCTGGCGTGCACTCAGCAGCGCCCGCACCTGCACGCCCCAAGAAAATGCCGATTCCGCACCAGCGACAGGGCGCCCCAAGCAAACGCCGATGCAGCACCAGCACCAGCAGGGGCAAAAGAAACGCAGATCCAGAGCCACACCCTTGAGAAGTAAGAGCCACTAATAAGTATAAACTATAGCTTGGAGCTATCTGGGGAACTAAAAACACTCACGCAATTTTGGTACGCGCAACTCTTGGTTTCGCGCAGGCGCAGTCGCACGGTTTTGGGAAGGTCACGCAAACGGGGCTGGTCTCTTGCTCGCAACAAGGGCCATGCAATCAGAAAGGGTCGAAGGCAGGACCGATCAAGCCGAGGCTTCTGCTATAGCAGCGAGGAAGCGGAGGATTCCCACGCTCGAAGGCATCAGTAGTGACTAGTGATCCAATACTAACAGAGCCCCACATACCCAGCACCAAACCACAACGAAATTGCATGTGAGTTGAGCTTCGAAAACGTAGGTTTCCGGATCTAGCTCGCTCGCAGCTTTGAAGCACCAAAAGGCGACGCAGGTGGCCAGTGGCATAGATTCGGCGTGCTCTTTGCATCGTGGAGATCATGGCCTGGGGGTTTTGGCGGCGAAGCAATCAGCGGTACGAGAGCTGATTCGGCCGCCCTGGAGTTCCTAGCATGTTACAGCGAGATGGCGGCTGGCCGGCTACTTCATGCATGGTATTATTGGCGTGCATGCCTTCGGTGAGTGGTGGGGCTACATTGAAATTGCCATTGTGTATCTTCATCGTGGGCGGCTTGGGGATACTGGCCTACAGTTTTCCACGCCCTTTTGGTTCCTTGGTCGCGGTGTTCGAGCGCTTGGTTCAGTATGCTGCTGCATACGCTGAGGACAATGCGCTGGATGGCCGATGGAGACAGGCTATTTGCAGCATCGCTTGAAGGGCAGGGGTAGCCGAAGGAAGCTGAATGACGTGCTGCTCAGAAAGGCTGGGTGCGTGGTCCGGCTTTACCTCGATAGCGATCGAGTGAAGTTTCGTGGTGTGACGGAGGAGGTGGGAGAGATCCACTTGTGCCGCCAGCTCGGGCGCCGTGCTGAGCATCAACTTCACCTCTAGGAGTTTGCGGGCTTTGTGAAGGGTGAAGTGTGGCCAACCTGGCCAGCTGGGGATAGACTGTCAGATGAAGCGATGAGGAGCGGCAGTTGCTACCGGCCAATCGCAAGAGGAGGCCTTTGACACCGTCAAGATCCTCTTCGAGATGGATGATGAGGGGACCATTCAGGTGGTGAAGGGCGATGTTACTGTTTGAAGAAGATCTGCGGGAAGGCGAGGCCCACAGGTCGATCAGGGCAGCCGCGTGCTAGAACATCGTGGAGCCCACCAAGACGTCTCCTGAGCCGGCTGCTGAGATCAAACGCAAGGTGAAGGCCAATCCAATAGCAACACCCTGTTTGCAGCACTGTACGCGAGGAGCGATGGAGGAAGTATGACGCGGCCTTCAAAGATACACTTCTATAGCAACCCTCTGATGCAGGGCGATGGCATCATCGGGCAGCTCTTTGGGAACTACGCCAATGACGATGGGCCACTCGCGCTGGAGCAGCAGGTGATGGTGAAGAAGAAGGGCTACTTGGGGCACGGGTTGTGGATGCACTCGAAGGCTTGCGGAAGGCGACCGAGGACGACAAGAAGAGCAACGGGGACCAGAAGCGCGATTGGCAGCGAAGAGGCTTTGGACACGTACTTGGCCTGTGGGTGCATCACCTTGACAGCTGAAGTCTGCCCTGACGGTTGCTTGACTCATTGAAACGAGTCTGCGCACACGCCAAAGCGATGCCACAACAGATTGATTGGCCCTGCCTCATCGCCAATGGCATCGCCGACGGCCGCGCGGGATGGCGCGGGACATTCTTTTTAGAGACACTCAGCCTTCACTTTGGCGTGAGAGAGGAAGTAATCTATAGCGGAGAGATCTACGTGGTGCACCCGAGATCGGAACCTGTTTGCGGTGTGTTTGTTTGGCTTGAGAAAGCCTGTGACGTACAGCGCTGACTTGTTGTGACCTGCTGATGATGGAAAACCTGGACGAGTGGTGCGCGCACACATTGGTATACCGTAGGGTAGAGACCTGGGTTTGTGTAGGTAGTGGAGAGATAGGATAGCTACTGAATTACCACATGGAGTATGTATGATTTGGAAAGCACTTCTCTGTGTGTCACAGAGGACAAGTCGTCGTCGAAGCGTGAACCGCATGCTCAGGCGGGATGATGTGCATGGAGGAGACCAGGTGGCTTCGGCGGGTTTGGGCAGGCGTGTATGTTAGGCAGTCACACGTCGCGACTGCTTATATGCGAAGAAGTCGCTGGGAAACTATTGCGCAGAAATGTTGATTCACTCGGTGGTGAATGTTTCATGTGAAAGAAAAATTTCTGATACAGTGTTTGTTGGTTGATACAGGAGCATGCACGGACGGACGTCATAGCAGAATCCCCCGTGGGTGGACCGCTGGGGGCTTTGCTGGTCATTATTTCGAGAGCTGGCCTCTAAAGGATGAGCGGCAAGAGGCCTCCAAAAAATGACAGGCAAAGGTGTGTATATAAAATGCCACGCCAAATCCAGCTGTGGCTAAGGACCAGTGGAAGAACATGCATTATAACGCCCTATGAAATGACAAGCGCAACATCCAAAAAGCAGAAAGAAGAGGCATCTATAAAATGAACATCCAGATGTTCATTCCCGACATCGACCTGTCGGGTTTTTGTTTTAGTGTTGTATCCGCCCCGCGCTCCGCCTCCTCCTCCCGCCCTCCGCTTGCCACCAACCAATTGTCAACAACAAATTTCCACCAACCAATCGCCACCAACAAGTTTCCACCAACCAATTGTCACCAACCAATCGCCACCCTAATTGTCACCAACCAATTATGTCATCAACTGATTGTCATCAACCAACTGCCCCAACAAATTGTCACCAACAAATTGTCATCTATAACTCTATAACCAATTGCCACCCAACAATTGCTACCAACCAATTGCCACCAACTAATTGTCACCAACCAATTGTCATCAACTGATTGTCACCAACCAATTGCTACCAACCAATTGGCACAACCACTTGCGACCAACAATTGGCACCAACCAATTGTTGTCAACCGATTGTCATCAACCAATTGCTACCAACCAAGTGTCACCAACCAATGGTCATATGGTCATCAACCGATTGTCATCAGCCGATTGTCCTCAACTAATTGATACCAACCAATTAGCATTTGTGTCTGTGCTGCTGTGATTGCGTGGCAGGAGCCGTACTTTGGTGTTCTCCAGCGGGTCCGATGCACGCCCCGGTGCTGGCCGGGGCTGCTGGGTCTCCGCCGCTGTCACCCACCAATTGTCACCAACCAATTGTCATCAACCAGTTGTCATCAACCAATTGCCACCAACAAATTGTCACCCACCAACCACCAATTGTCCGCTCCTGTGTCTGGTGAAATTGTTTTATCCGGTCCCATAATTTTCTTCTCCAGATAGCGAAGCTATGGGGTTCTTACTTCATTCCCCAGATAGCGAAGCTATATATGGGCCTGGGGTTCTTACTTCAAATAACAATGAGTTGCCCGCGCGCGCTTTCGAGACAGGTTGCTGGTGCTGGGTGCCGGCGCTGGTGCTGTGAGCTGCCTGTGCACTTGGTGGAGACAGGTTGCTGGTGCCGGTGCTGGTGCTGGGTGCCCGTGATTGGTGCTGTGAGCTGTGCATGTGGTTGCTGGTGCTGGGTGCCGGGTGGCTGGTGCCGGGTGCCGGTGCCGGTGCTGTGAGCTGGCTGTGCACGCGGTGGAGGCAGGTTGCTGGTGCCGGTGGTGGTGGTGGTGCCGGGCGCTGGTGCTGGGTGCCGGTGGTAGTGCTGGTGCTGTGAGCTGGCTGTGCGCGTGGTGGGGACAGGTTGCTGGTGCTGGGTGCTGGCGCTGGTGCTTTGAGGTGGCTGCGCGCGTGGTGGAGACAGGTTGCTGGCGCTGCTGGCTGTGCGCGTTGGAGATAAGTGCCGGCGCTGGGCGCTGGCAGTGCGCGAGACAGCGGGCGCCGGTGCCGGTGCTGTGAGCTGGCAGTGCGC